CTGCCTTACTTCAAAATCATCTCAACCCCGGCAACTACACCAGACTATGGATTCTGAAGCCCCAAGAATGCGGACCGAGCCCTTGTCCATTGTGACTGGCCTTGGTTCTCCGCCAATCGTCAAAGAGGCCCGATCATGTCCTTCAGAAGAGCCTCCAGCTTATACGCCGACGATGAAGCCAAGCATCATCGATAGCCTTGCCGCTTACCTCTCCCGAAATTCCGACTCATATGGAACCGCTCCACGTAGAGTCGCGCCATGCCCTGAGGTGTCATTCTCGAGCCAATTTAGCGACGACGACCACGAGGAGTTGTCACCAATCTCGCTGCGTATTTCCACGCGCATCAACATAGCGTCTGACGGAAATCTCATCGCACTACCTTGTTCCCCATCCGGGCAAGCCAACTCTATCGCAAGGGCCGTCGTCGAAGCAATTCAGGGCCAGGACTGGGCGACCGGACTACCTATGATTGATGAGAACGGACGGCCAAGACCTTTGAAGCTGGAAGTTGATGCGGGTATGACCATCAAAGGTTCCTCTAACGTCATTGGCACCGAATCAATAATCAACGATATCATTCGCCAAAGAACACCCATACAAAAGTGGACGCCACCATCGCCCTCGCAAAGTACAGAATCATCTGCAACGACTTCACCTTCATCACCGAAAAGGAGACGCCGTGGGTCAGACTCGGCACCTTTGGAGCAGACCCGTAGCAAACGGGCAAGACACGACGTATAACCCTTCTGACAGCTTTCCCACTTCCCAAGGAGATTTACCAACGACATGTCTTGAAGCTTCTCACTATCGTTTTGTTCACTAGAGCTTGAGAATTGGGCTTTGTGCGGTCGTCAGCAGTCTTCCTGACTGCAGGAGTTGGTGGGGAAAAACCCCTGGGCTTTTAGATTTCCTCTTTCAACTACACATACTTGCCTTTTCAGACTTGAATATATATACTTCTGCGGTTATTTGCGTCCGTGTAGTTCTTCATTCTTCTGCTCTTTTGGTGTATTTCACTTGCTTGATGCGTTGTCGACCATTTCAGAGGCCTATGGATTAGACTTGCAACCAATGCAACCACATGGACGACACTGTCAGAGACCGAAGGACACGGGATGCGTTCCGCTGTCTCTAGTTGCCTCCTTCCCATCCTTGCCTTTTCTTTCCTCCCGCACGCGATGGTGGTCGGCTGGATCCACACCACCTGTTTGCTTTGTACACGGGGCCGTTCTTCCAACTGTCTGGCACCGCATGGGAATGCCTGTCTGAGAGGGGTATCGAACCAGCGCCTGATTATTGTTCTGTGCCTTGCTTTGTCCAAAAGGACCGCGCTTAATTGGACGCTCCTTCGCATGTGCGTCGGTGCCGAGGTTCAGAGGCGCATCCGCGCGGAGATGGAAGCAAACAAATACTCACATCTGGCCACCCCCGGCGGGAATACTGCCTCTTGCGGAAGAGGATACATGCGTCATTGGGTGCCGAATCGTCGGGTACAGCAACCTACTGCACTGATCTGATACACATGCTGCGGCTGCCGGTTGACAGGAGCTATGTTTGGTCGCCTCGGGATTTGAGGAGTTGGGCACCGGGCGAATCCCACACTGAAGATGCAGATCGGGTTCTGATGCTTTTCGGGGACTGAAAAAGGACTTGACATGCTACTATTAACCCTGAAATGTCAAGTTGAGGCAAGTCGACTTCGCTGCGTCCATTGTTAATTTTAGGAGGTGTTTCTATTTAAATGGTGTCATTTGTGATACACCTCCTTTTGACATCTGCGGAGAATGGTACTGCACTATCTTGGTGTTCGTGGCTGACTCCTTCGCCCTCGTCATCCTATATGATCGTCTCTTGTGGCTGCGCGTCCCTAGATGCCGCTTCAGGCATTTGTGGGAGGAAGATCTAGCAGCAGCAGAATATTGTCATTGAACCATGTAGATACTTGGTATAAGACTGATAAGAAGTCCTGGTCCATCATGTCGTGAATGTTACAAGCTGTGAAATGATCTATAGGTATGGCGAAGTGTGCGTGTGCAAACGCAACGATGCGATGGGACATCGGACGACATGGCATCTGCACCGCCTAGTACAAGACCAACACTGGAGGCTAGATATTCAGGGTTTTCTCCACGGATTCTCCATGTAACTCGAGATGATAATATCATTATGTTGGGTCGGCCCTCCTCCGGTGGCGGTTGAGCGGATAAAGCCCACGTCAACGGTAGTTCGCAGGATCCAAGAGCACGGGTCGTGGATGTCAGGGATGGTAAAATGATGTTAGTGATTGTGATGTTGCAGACGAATGGACGAGACCCAGACAAGACTTCCTCATTTAGGCAAATGCGCAATATTCCTCCTATGTTGAAGGAGACGTGCTTCATCGAACTTTGATGTCACTTGTGTGTCTCATTGGGCGGGTTGCAACACAGTACAGCCGACTAAATTCTCACCAAGTATGGAGCCTGCCAGGTTTGCCCTGCAAACCTGGATGAGGCGCACAAGCGATTTGATCCGAGTCAAAGCTGAGATATTTCGCCTGACTTCTTGCGTCAACATCAATGACGAGATGTATCGTGGAGAGGTTGAAGGATGGTAGGTTGCTAAACCGTTGCAACATTTGTCCGGCATCGACTTGAGCGCACGGTAGGCCATCAGGCCCGCTGTAATCTGCAGCCCATGCAACACTAATGGGCGGGAGCTTGAATCGGCTAAATCATCCCTTCTTTTGACTTTGACGACTCAAGGCCGACATGAATCTTGACCTAAACATCTCTAGAACAACGCTTCAACACACACTCCTGCCCTTTCCTCAAGTTCATCCCCTTCTTTGAGTTGCAACCCGCAAGTCGGTCCGAACTGTCGGCCGTCAGCCTCAAACGGTCGTCGCGCGGTCCATCCCTGCTCCAGGTCCGCTCAAGTCAGGGCTGTTCCCCATCTCGAGCTCAGCTCCAGTTGACAACTCCCCACAGCCCAATGGGCGGCGCCAATTCCTCAGTGCGGCTTTGGTCTGGCACCGCTGTCGAATCACGGCTAGTTTCAGGGCCCGAATGGCCAGCTCTACACAAAACGAGCTGCGCTAGGCGGGGGCCGTATCGCGGTGCTGCAACCTCAGTTGCGCTAGGAAAGCCGCTGCCGGCTTGACTTCCTTGGACTCTGCCGTGCTGAGCCCAGCCAAGCTGAACTTGCGTCAAGACAAGTTGCATCCCACCTACCACCTCCCACACAAGTTACAACGCCCACCACACGCTGGTCCCTTGGGCCATTGCAGGTCAGCCCAGCAGAAGGGAGACCCATTTTACATGCATGTAACGGCTCCCAAGAACGCCCTCGACGCCCTGAACCCCGTATTACACGCGTACTCGAAGCTGGCCGGGGGGCTCTAAACCCCGTGAAAATCCTCCATCATGGGGTTCTGCCTCTCACTTCCCTTCCCCTCCCCCTCCTCCAACGGAATTCCCTTCGACATGGCGCCTCTCACTATCCGCAATCTGACCTCTCTGCCCGTTACCCTCAAGCGCGTTGAGCGCTTCGAGGGCGAGAAGGTTCGCACCGGAGATGTCTTGGGCAACACCATTGGCACCATTGGCTCATTCTTCAATGCGACAACCTTCACCACGAGAGAGACCGTTGTAAAGGGCGAGTCGCATACCACCGAGGATGTAGATGTCCATGTCGATCCCTTCACCATCAACGGCACGGAAATCAACGCCCCAGAACCCGGCGGTAAGGAGGTCATCCGTCTGCAGTTCGAAATCGAAGGCCACCGTTATGAGATCGACGCCCCGAGCCCCTCCAACCGCTCATCCGTCATGAAGAAGCTCGACGATGCGCCTCTCGAGCTCACGGCCGTCTACGTGTCCTCCGGCGCATTCCTCGCCATCATGTCCTCTGCCAACCTCAACGCCTGGATGCGTGAGCTCCAGGACCACTATCCCCTTCCTCTCCTCTCCATTCCCGGCACGCACAACTCGCCCACATGTCACACGGCTCTCCCCTCGGTGCGATGCCAGGCTGTCAGCGTCCGCGAGCAACTCGACAACGGCGTGCGCTTCCTCGACATCCGCGTCTCAGCCAGTCAAGATAACGACGACCTGGCCCTCGTCCACTCCGTTTTCCCCATCTCTCTGACGGGCAACAAGTACTTCGCCGACATGCTCTCCGACATCTATGCCTACCTCGACGCCAACCCCTCTGAGACCGTCCTCATGTCTGTAAAGCGCGAAGGCACCGGCAAGGGCACCGACGAGCACCTGAGCCGCTACCTTCGCGACCGCTACGTCGGCCGTGATGCCCACCGCTGGTTCGTCGAGCCGCGCATCCCCCACCTCGGCGACTGTCGCGGGCGCATCGTGCTGATCCGCCGCTTCGGCATCGACGAGTCTCTGCGTGGTGAACACGACGGCAGGGGCTGGGGCATCGATGCGCAGAACTGGCCCGACAACTGCGAGGACGGCACCGTGGGCGGCGGGCTCATCCGCGTCCAGGACTTTTACGAGATCGACCAGTCTACCAACATTGAGAAGAAGATTGACTTCTCGCGTGGCCAGCTGGAACGCGCCGCCGAGCAGTTCTTCCACCTCCCCGGTATGCCAGACTTCAACGCCGACGCCCCGTCGCTTCCCTTCTTCGTCAACTTCCTGAGCGCGAGCAACTTCTTCAACGCCACCTGCTGGCCAGAACGTATCGCGGCCAAGGTGAACCCGTCTGTCATCGAGTACCTGTGCATGTGTCACGGTGAGCAGGGCAAGGGGCCCAATCAGCTGAACATTGGCGACGCCGCAACTGGCATCATCGTCACAGATTGGGTTGGAGCGCATGGCGACTGGGATTTGATCAGATGTATTGTTGGGATGAACTCGCGGCTGCAGCTCAAGCATTAGGTACGCAGGGGCTGCATTTTACGAGGCATTGGCGCAAAGGGGCACGGTAGACATAAAGGCAGATGAACAGTCTTCATAGGATGTAGCGAAGCAGGCATTTGTGCATGGTTGAAACATGTTTATTCAAGTAAAACTATGGGCGCGATCATAGATATCTCGTAGAAGTCCTGGGTTGCCAAGTTAGCTTGTTGTCTTGGTAACAAAAGGCATAAAAAGTTGCAAATGGTGTTTCTCAAATCAGTTCTCCAAGGTGATTGGTAAGTTTTTCGTCATGATGAACTCAGTACTAGAGCTAATGTTTGGTCATCATTGAGAGGGGGGTGGCATGCGAGACGTGAAAGAGATGTATGGACCTACCATTTGGGTATCATGTTGTAGCAAGTGACGAAAAAACTGCGTCCTACCTGCGTCGCGGATTAGCAACGGCCTAAGCAGAAGTGAAGCAAACACCAAGTAGCTGAGCTGCGACGGGTTAGCAAATGGCACGTCGAATCGTTCATGCGGTGTGGAAATACCTCAATAGTATCAGAAAGTGTTAATTGTGTTCATGTCCAGCAAACACCGAAGTGAAGCCAGTCAAACAGTGTGAATACTTGACAACTCATCATAATATTGAGAGCGAAGCAACGCAAGCTGCGAACTAGGAACATGGGCTAGAAAAACCAAGCATGGATATTTACCTGCGTTGGTCCAGTCAGCACATCTGTCATGACCAGAAACGACGCAAGCCCGATGCCTCTCCAAAAAAGCGACAAGCCGTTGACCACAATCAGGTGACGAATGATATCAACAAGAAGCCCCGACACCCAACACCACAGGTTTTGTACGACCTGTTTGTTTCTGGCGAGGGGCGCCGAGGTTCGTTTATGTCCGCCCGTTCGTTCAAATCTTCCTCATGCGTGGTGCGGTGCGGGAGAGTAACACGGACGAAGCGTCAAAACATTCAAGTAGTTTCTGTATTTACCTATCCAGAGTGAGTTAGCGACGAGTGCCATCTGGAAGATGCGAGTGAAACAGTGAAGTGTTTGGCTCTAGATCAGACAAGGCTGAAACTATTGCACCGGATTCAACATTATGTATTCTGCATGAGGAATCCCTATGGTGTACGAAGTGTTCATCATATGAGAGGGAGGGGTCGAGGGCGACAGGAAAAGTTGAGAGCTGCGAGCATACCTTTTGAAGAAAATTTGAGAACGGCAACAGCTTCCAATTTGAAGCAATCTGGAGTCTGGAAATTTCTGCGACGCGTTAGCCTTCGGTCCACGCGACACTAGCGCAAGAATCGATGCTCTGCAAAATTTTGCTCAGTGTAATTCTAGAGATAATAAAACACCATGTGGTAGTCTGATTTGGATTGTTCGATGAAAGATCATCTTCGCAAACAGGAGGTGCTGCAAGGAGCTCGAAGAGGAGGAGAAGCTTACCCATTGATTCCAGCTGCCTGCCCTCGCGATGTTGCGGCGGGCAGGCAGAAGGCCAAAAAATTGTTGACCTGATGAGAAGAAAGAGAAAAAGGTGCAGACTGCAGCAGCTTGCTGGAAAATTTAAAGGCGCGAGGAAAAAAAAAGAAGTGGGGGTCGGGTCGGCGACGATGCAGCTAACCCGGTTGGGTCTAGCACGGGACCCCTCAGAATCTGTGGCTGTGCGCCCGACTATCTCCGCGATCAACGAGGTGGCGAAGATTCCCGGGGGGCGCACCGCCACCCAATACTGCGTAGGTATAACTCCCCGCGAACACCCGCCGTCCCCGAGCTGTCACTCCTTTTACAGCTACACAGACAAGCTTCGGTTCTCGATCCTGATACTGAACGTCCTTTCCCCCAAAAGGCCGTGTGAGCTCAGGACTCACAACCACCCGCAAAGATGTCTGGCGTCGCGGGGAAGATATGGGCTCCAACAGCCCTACGCTTCCTCCGACTCGGCGTCACGAACGTCACCAAAGCGACCAAGATGCTAAGAACCAAACTCGCCAACGCCGCCGCCCGTCCCGCCCAGGGCGAGCTCGCACACATTCCCATCCGCACCACGCCGACCGGCCGTCAACCCATCCATCCCGCCGCCCTCCTCAGACAGAAGCGTGCCGGACGCTGGTACTCGACAGCGACCCAGAACGTGAACAACACCGTCCGCCGATGGATCTCCACCGCTGGAGGCAGCGGCAACGCCGCACGCTTCAACCGAGCTTCTTTCCCGAGCTCAAACACCTCGCGCCGCGTGGGACAGATGACAGGACGTGCCCCCTTCGCGAGCACCCTCCGACCGAACCTCACCGGCGGCGCCATCCCGCGTACTCAGGGCGGCTACAGCACTGGCGGTGGAGCCCGCTACTTCTCCCATACCCCCGCCGCCCCGGCGCAGGTGATCCACAACGTCTCCGTCGCCATGCGGGCCTTCTGCCTTTCGGGCAAGAAGGCACGCTACGACGGCCTCAACGCCCGCGGCGAGATGTGCTACCGTGCCGTCTCGGAGCTCGAGCAGGCTGCCTACGTCAAGATGATGGGTGCTGCCCGCAGCAACCCTGGCGCCTTTGTCGATTTCAAGCTCAACCCCACCATCACCGCCCTTAGCCCTCTTGCCGCTGCCGCTGCTGCGGGCTTCACCTCCGCCGGCGCCGCTGCCCCCGCTGCCTCTCTCGGCGAGGAGGGCTTCCTCGATGTCCTCTCTGTTGACTTCGCCCGTGCCGTCAAGGACCTGGCCATCATTTTCGCCGACTTGAAGCGAATTGCATTGTTGGGTGACTTGCCGGTGACAATGGAAAAGGGAAGCGTGTTACGAGTGCGATTCCCTGGCGTCGACGCGGATACCGTGGAACGACTGTGCGACGATTATGGTGTTCAGCGCGGTGTTGTCGGTCAGGACGCTAATTTCGACGCCGAGACCGGCGTGCCTATGGCTCTCCGCTTCCCCTTCGCTCCTGACTGCGAGGACGCCAAAACCCTCACATCTCCTGGTGGTTCTCTCCGCTCGCTTTCCGGTCTGGATGTGGACTTGGAAGAGGCGTTCATTGAGATGGAGGAGGACCCCTGGATGTCGGACCCTGAGGGCTATGGAAGCATGTCACCTACCCCCAAGACGAGTGAGCATGACGAGTATGATGGCTTGGAAGGCATCTATCGTTTCTTGGAGGAGTGTGACCGTGCTAAGGGCAGGTACTAGACGGCTGTCTGAGACTTTGCAAGGAATGCACAGACTGGTTTATGGTTTACGGTTTATGGAAGGATCTACACTCTTTATAACTTGAACATGACTATGGCCCCAAGAGCGGCTTAGTCCTCTGAATGACATTTTCTATTAGTCGGCCAGTGGTACTCGTTGTGATTTGACGCCCAAACACCGCCAACCAATGCTCCGAGGCCTTCTTCGATGACAAATAACCATTCTTGTGATAGCGTCGCCGGGCGTGATGAGTCGCATAATCCTCTGTCATGATGTGCGAAGCAATGACACCAGAAGAGCAGGGTTCGATGCTGGTGTGGCTATTTGTATGTTGATTCGTCTGTGTCTTAATCTATCGAGAAAGTAAAGCCCGGCCGTTGTCATCTCCTCAATCCTTTCTGCCATTTCCGTTGTCGAGCAAATTCATCTATCATACAAGGTATTAACGGGTCAAGCTTGCAGAGCCCATCGAGGTTTTCCTGCAAGGAAACCCCGCACGATGCAAATCAGAACTTCATAATCTTCTTCCAAGCATCTCGCTCCTTCGCAATCATCTTCCTATCCTCGGCAAGCTTCTTCTGCAACTCTGGCGAGCGCTGGGCAGGTCCTGTAGCTGCGGCTAGCTGTGCCAACTTGCCATGAGAGCCGGGATGAAGAGACTGAACGAGATCACCAGAAGCGTGAACAGACGAGACAGACGCACTGGGCTGTGCAGCAGAAGTTGCAGGGCCCTTGGCCTTCTTGGGTTTACCCCTCTTCTTCTTCTTCTCCCTTGTGGATGGAGGGGTAGGGGATTCCTGATCCGTCTGGTGGGGTGTCTCGACCTTGCCAATCTTCATCGTCACACTAGTGCTTTTCTTGCGAGAGCCGACAGTGTCGAGAACCCAAGTCTGGCCGCTCTCCACAGCCGAAGACGAAGACGGCTTGGCCGAGGGCTTCTCTGGGGGTGTGAAGATAGGCTCGGCCTTCTGGGTGCTGTATGTCTTCTGAAATCCCGAGAACGGGTTGTAACGGGGACGAAGATCGCTAAAGACAGTAAGAGCTGCAGGAGGGTCGATGCGAGTTGGACCCTTTGGTGTTTGCTTGGGCGGAGCCGCAGTGATCTGACCAGAAACGACTGCAGTATCCTCGATCACCGGGGCGGGGGTACCACTATCGTTATCGACCGGATGAGATCTCTTCTTGTTCTTCCTCTTCCTCTTCTGCTTCTTGTCGTTGAGATCATCGATGTTGCTGCTGTTCAACACCTCCACAATCTCAAAATCATTCAGAGCACCATCTTCGTCACCCTTTTCAGCGGCGTTCGCAGCCTCGAGAACAGTAGTCGAAACCTTCTTCTCATCAAAGGTACCCTGTAGCGACGTGGGCTCAAGTTGCTCCTGTGTGTTCTTGGTCTCCTTGCTGATCTTATTGACGAGAAGAGACTTTGACTTCTTGACTTTCTTCTTGTCGGACGCTGCGTTGGTCAAGTCGTCTCCTGGCGATATATTGGAATCCCTCACCGTACCAAATTCTTGGACGGAGAGCGATTTTGATCTCTTGTGCTTCTTTGCCTTGCGGACAATGTCGGTAGAGTCCTGTGCCTGCGGCAGCTCGGCATCTTCGGCGGAGAAAGACTTGGACTTCTTGCGCTTCTTCTTCTGCTTCTTGTCTTCGTCATTCTGATCCTTGACGCCACTGTTGGTCTTGTCGTCGGCATCAGCAGACTTCGCGGCAGTCTCACCTTCCTAGGATGAGATGCTCACGGTCCTCGAAGCAACGGTTCTAGGAACCTTTTTGGTGGGGGTGCCTAGGTCACGCTCAACAGCGCTGTGGTTGTCGGCATCATCGACTATGTTGTCCGAGTCCGAGGTTGAGTCTGAGTTCCATTCCAAACCGGATTTCTCGTTGCTTTCCTCGGGAGACTTCCTCTTCGATGACTTCGCGGATGCGATACCCTCGTCCAGGTTTGCGAGCATATCCTTCATAAAGTCGATGTCCCTAGCCCGGGCGGAAGAGGGATCCGATCTGTAGAGCTGCTCTCTGTTGGCCAATACGCCCTTCTGACGAGATTTGAATTTCTCGACTTTCTTTCTCATGCGGCGTGAAATGTCGGCCAGACTCTCTTGCTGCAACTGCTGCTCGTCGGGATGGAACGACTTCATATCCTCGATACCCTTCTCCAATTTCTTACGCGTAGTCGCATTCTTCTTGACCAGATGCCTAAGCTCTCTGCGGAGAATTCTACGCTCGTCTTTGGTGAATGGCTTCGAGAGCTGGTCAGATCCGGAGGGCGCCATCATTTGTGGTCCGCGTTGTCGCAATGACTGTGGCAAGGATGGGTGCTGCTGCGACGAGTAGTGCGAGCAATGTTGAATACTTCAATGGGAAGGGAAGGGAAGTGAAGAGTCAAGTAGGTCTTCGGAGAATTGAAGATGGATGGTTGAGGTGGTGAGGGAAGTGAGAGGAAAGGAGGAGAATGGAGAAAAGAGAAGGCAGGCAGGCAGGCAGGCAGGCTGCTTGGAGAAAGACTGGGAGACTGCTGTGTGTGTACCTACTTACCAAGGCAAGAGCCTACCTACTTAGGGTGGGAAAAATGAGGAAAGCGCGACCTCAAGGCTGATGTGAGTGGTAGCTGGAAGTGGTCATTGCAGGAGGACAAAAACTTCCTTGATGGCAGTCCCATTAGATGTCATTGTGATATTGGTGTCTTCTCACTTGTGCACTATTCTTTCTTTTGTCTGCAGCCATCAGTGCATCCTCACAGCTCATGTACGTGATTGACAAAAGGTAGACTGCTCAAACATATGTCACGCTTCCTGTCATACACATTCGTTGTGGTATACAAACGTTAGGGTAGGTATTGATAAAATTGGATACTGCAGCCCCGAAGCCGCCATCCTCAGATTCCAGCCTAAGGCCCACCATATGCCGAAAAGCTAGTGTATGTCAACCCTGGAGCAATAGCTGTTTGGTCTTCGAACTGAGCTGATTGTATGGCCACGAGATACTGAGTCGTAGAGTTGAAGATGGCCTATATGAAGGAGTCTGGACATAAATACCTAGCTAAGGTGTTTTGAGGGAGGACGTCGGGTCGCTCTTAGCCCGGGGAAGGTAGAGACCAAGGGAGCTATGACGGGACGTCGGTGCTGGTAGGTACCGATCTCCGACCCTGAGCTTCAGAGGACTAGTTCCTGACCCTCTGGGCCAATCCCAACTTCGAAGGGAACCTTTCTCATATGCTGCTGATACTCACGGTGTCTGTCCAGATTAGTGATACGAGATCTAGAAGGGGTTTGCAAACTAAGCCTCTCCTGGAACAGCAGAGCCACTGAGCCGTCCAAGATCCCGAAGTCAAGATCCGGGGTTACAAGCATGGCGCAACTCCACCCCCACATTTGGACCTCGGCATTGGCAACTCACCTAGCCAGGGACGTTTCATTGCCACTGGAGCGCTGCGGTTAGCTGACCAGAGCTGCGCCGAGGGAAGCTTACCCAGCGCCAGTTAAAACCGCCAGAAAGTCCCCCCAAGCTCGGCCGAAGCGCGACTCGACAAGAAAACTCCTTATCCTTATTTACCAATTGATCTCCCATTCTGACCACTTTCTCTGAGAAATATCTTCGACATTTCCATTCCATAATCAACATGAGCGGTCCCGGTGTCGGTTTCGAGTATCCTCGCCAGGAGGTTTCCTGGGTGAAGCGTGATGTCTTGCTCTTCGCGAACACCGTCGGCTGCACCGATCAGGAGCTGCACTTCCTCTATGCAAGTCCTCTTCTGCTCCTTTGCTTGTCTCAAACTGTTGGCTAACCTTTGATCTACAGGAGCTTCACCCGAGCTTCGCCGTCTTCCCGACCTATCCCATCATCCTCTGTAGGCCACCACGCGGCGCATACGAACCCTCCCGCGACTGACAACCCGCTAGCTTTCAAGGGCAACGCCCAGGACGTGATTGACTTCTACGCCGCCCAGAAGTCCGTTCAGATCCCTAATGTTCCCTCTTTCGACCCCCGGCGCGTTGTCGACGGCCAGCGCAAACTTGTGCTTCACAAGTCCCTCCCCACAAGCTCGGAGGGCAAGAAGTTCGAAGTCCGAACCAAGGTCCTCGGCGTTTACGACAAGGGCCGCCCCGGATCCGTCGTAGAGACCCAGACCGACCTCGTCGACGCTGAATCCAACGAGGTCTACGCCAGCGTCATTACTAGCAGTTTTTACGTCGCCCAGGGCAACTGGGGCGGCCCCAAGGGCCCCGCGACCGAGAACTTCCCCCCGCCCAAGGACAAGAAGCCCGACGTCACTTTCGAGCACCAAACGAACAAGCAGTCGGCCCTGCTGTACCGACTGAACGGCGACTACAACCCCCTCCACGCAACTCCCGAGCCCGGAAAGAAGATGGGCTTCCCCGGTGCCATCATGCACGGCCTGTACTCGTGGAACTCTACGGCCCACGGCCTGCTTGAGGCATTCGGCGGCAGCAACCCCGCCAACATCAAGGAGTACCAGGCGAGGTTCGCCGCTCCCGTCATGCCCGGCGACAAGCTTGTGACGGATGCCTGGCGGACTGGGGAGGTCAAGGACGGCTTTGAGGAGATCCGCTTCCAGACCAAGGTTGAGGGAGGCAAGATTGTTCTGAGCAACGGACGCGCCTTGATCAAGGTTGTGGAGCCTCTCAAGTCGAAGCTGTAATTTCTAGTTGTATGAGTGAAAATATGTGACATTTGAAGCTAAAATATCATTCTGGCGAAATTTAGCATGCTTCCTCCCGTTAAATATGAATCGAACGACGATGTTTGGGACGCTCCTGATGCCGTCGACTGTGGTGTATGTAACCCACTAACAATTGTGGTGTTCAGCGACGACACCAGGTCACCTCCACTAAATTGAACATTTTCACTTAACGCTACAGCTGCAGAACCAGGACCTCGATAATGTACCTCGACAGTAGTCACTACCTACGGTGACAAAAGCTCGCCGTATTCGACAAAATGGCACCTGAAAACCATATCGGTCAACGGCTGTCTTACGATGGGGCGCTTTGCACAGTTCGCTACGTCGGCGCCGTCGCCGGCACGTCAGGCACCTGGCTCGGTGTAGAATGGGATGACACGGGACGAGGAAAGCATGACGGCCAGCATAAGGACGTCAGATATTTCACATGTACCCGCCCTGGACGCTTGTATCTGGCATTTCCGAGTCTCTAATCGTTGTGCCAGGCCTCTCAAAGTCTCCCACCGCCGCTTCATTTGTGCGCCCGACCCGCCCCGCTGACGCGCCGCAGAGTTTCGTGGCAGCTCTGAACGGCAAGTATGCCTCTGAGCAGGCGGCGGAGCGCGAGCCCGAGATCCAGATCGTCTTTTTCGGGAAGAAGCCGGCAGAAGAGGTCGGCTTCGACAAGATTCGTCGCCAGCTCGCGCGCGTTGAGGACCTCACTATTGTGATTCTCGACGGGGCGCGGATTGCCATTGACGTGGCACCTGAGGATAAGAGCGTCAAAGAAACGAGTCCGCTGGTCACGGAGCTCGATTTGAGCAGAAATTTGTTCGAAGAGTTCCGACAAGTCGTCCGTATCTGTCGAGAGCTAGAAGATCTGAGGAGTCTGAGACTCAAGTGCGTTACCCAACCTTTCTTCATCCACGATGGCGGCTAATCTTTGCGCAGTGGCAACCGCTTCCGAGTCATCGAGGATGACGATACCAAAGCCTTTGTGAAGGTCAACGACCTGGAGCTTGAGGAAACGTTGTTAGACTGGGGTTCTCTGTCTGGACTCGCCCGCAAGTTCCCCTCTTTGTCATCGTTGAGCTGCAGTCTCAACCAGCTCTCCACGCTCCCGACCGTACCGTTCGGTCACCTCAGCGACACCTTAACGACTTTGGATTTGGAGTTCAACGATTTTACTTCTCTCGCAGACCTGTCTGCCCTGTCGTCTCTGACGTCTCTGCGTAATCTCCATCTCAAGGGCAACAACATATCTACGATCTCTCCTACGTCCGTTCCGGCTCCTGTCTTCCCTGAGAGCCTGCAGTATCTGGATGTATCTTACAACGCTGTAACAAGCTGGTCCTTTATTGACGCCCTACCGGCATCGTTTCCGGGTCTGAATGCTCTCCGCTTCGCCCACAACCCTATCTACGAACGCCCTGATCCCGAAACCCAAGGCGGAGGCAATCAGACAAAGTCTACCGATGAGGCCTACATGCTCACCATCGGCCGACTGGGCTGTCTCAAGGCCCTCAACTTCACCACGATCTCGACCTCAGACCGCTCCAACGCCGAAATGTTCTATCTTTCACGCATCGCAAAGCAGCTCGCCTCCGTCCCCGAGGCCGCTGAGCCTGAGGTCCTTGCACAGCACGCCCGATACGCTGAGCTTTGCACCATCTATGGCGCTCCTGACGTTATTCGCCGCGACGAAATCAACCCTTCCTATCTAGAGGCACGCCTGATCACGGTTCACTTCCATTATCCGCACACCACTGCAAACAAAACCAAAACTACCCACCTGCCAAAATCGTCCGACATCTACGCCGTCAAGGGTACTGCAGGCAGGTTGTTTGGTAAGGATCCACTCAGCCTGCGCTTGGTTTGGGAGACGGGCGAGTGGGACCCCGTTGCCGGGTTCGATGAAGACGAGGAGGCGGATGACAGCAGCGACGAAGAGGATGCTGCTGGCGCAATTGCGAGGAGCGGTGAGGAGGAAACAGGCACGGCGCAAGAGGGCAAGGGCGGAAGATGGGTCAAGAGGGAAGTTGAGCTCAAGGATGGGCCTAGACAATTAGGCTTCTGCGTAGACGGGTTGGATGTCAAGATCCGGGTGGAAGATAGGTAAAAACAACGGTTGAGAGTCAGGCTGGATACAAGTGGTGGAGCCAATAGATATGGGTGGCGGCGGGAAGCTGCACATGGCTTGCTTGATGCGTCTTGCTCTGCGTATTATTTGTTTGGTGTATCTAGACAAACAACATGGAATTGACGCAGGGTGCCGCGGCAACAGTAAGATACCCGGCATCTACCACGGCTCCATCGACAAACGGAGAGATAGAAATAGGAAGTCGGCATTTCCCAGCGTCCCCTCCTCTTGAAAAGTCTTGAAAGGGCAATGTTTTAACCTGCGAGCGTGGCCCCCCTTTTCCTTGTTTCTCGGCTCGTCACGAAAACGTATCACGAACATATGGCGTCCGCCGCAGCACTTCTGTCCGAGGACAAGAGAGGCCTTTCTCAGTCTATGCATAACCCACACAATGAGATCAGTTCCTCGGAGAAAGCGCGCCCGTTCGTTTCGTGGCCGCAGCACTTCATCATTCGCAAGGGCGGCACCTGCAACTCTCTCGTGCCCGTCATCCCTATTGACCTCCTACCTGACTATGTCGAGATCATCGGCTTGCCAAAGGAGCTCACAATCAGCGAAACTGTCGGCATGTCCAACCTCGGCGAGTTTCCCAAGCCACCGAGCGACCTCCAGTTGAACTTTGTATCGCCGGTTGCGCAAACTCGCGAGCCAATGCTAGAGGGCATCGAAGCTCCCGCCAAGGCGTAGGCTCCTACCATCTCGTAACTATTTCAAATTACTCACCACCCGTGTATATAGACCCAAGGTCACCACGAAACCCATGGCCGACACACGTGCCGGAGATCCCTCGAAATCATCCCGGGCCCAGGGTCCTCTGCCGGTGATGCCGCCGCCGCCCCGGCGCGTCCTGGACTGGGCCGAGGACACAGAATCCGTCTCCACGGACGACTTCTCTGGCGCAGAGAACTCTTCCGGCAGTAGCAGCAGCGATCACAAGCGACGAAGCGTCTCCAAGGGCAAATCTACCAGGTCCAAGGAGAAGTCGACAGCTGAGACTGCCCAACGCATGCTCGAAGTCGCTGCCGCTGCTTCTGCCCATCGACTCGCTCCTCACCTCGCCCACCGTTCGACCTCGGCGCCGGCTGTTGCTCTGTCTGCCGAAGCCGTCGCGAAGAACAATAGCGGCAGCAACAACGGTAAGAAGAGCAATAAGGGCAACAAGTCGAAGCCTGCCCGGCCCGCCGGCAGTTTGTGCCGCCACTGGTGTCAGACAGGCCAGTGCAGCTTCGGTACGGATTGCCGGTACACGCACCAGATGCCCGTGACGCTCGAGGGGCTCAGTGACGTGGGCCTCACCGAGCTGCCAGGCTGGTGGCGCAAGTCGGCCGGGCTGCCTGTCGAGGGGACCATTGACGTTCGTATCTTCTCTGCTGCCGGGGCCGCTGCAGCTACTAGCACCAGCAACGGCGGGAAGAAGAGTCCCGGGCCGGCTTCGGGCGGCGGTTCTGCGACTGGCACTGTGAGCCAGTCAAAGAAGGTCAAGATGAAGAACGACAAGGAGGAGCGCAAGACGGCGGAAGAGGTCCATTCTATGAGACTTGGGGTTGAGAGGGCTCGAGCGAACGCGTCCCCCGTGCCCGTTTCCAGTGAGAGTGGCAAAAGGAAGATGGCGAACGGCAATGCTCTCCAAGCCAAGAAGGCTCAGCAGGTGCAGCACCAGCTTCCTGTTGAAAAGTTGGTCGACATCTGAGTTCACTCAGCCATTAGCATGCGTGTCCTTCAGTCATGTAACATCATCGGTAGAAGCGATAGAAGTCTGTTCGGTTCGGAGATGCAGTAGCTCTCCGTGGATTCAATACAACATCTTGTAGAGTGTGAATCGCCTCGGAATTCTCGTGACAAAGGATGTGTGAAAGCCGGCATGGCGGGTTGTAGTGTACAATGTTGCTAGGCAGTTGCGTAAGAAAAGCTCTGCGACGGCGTACACTGTCAGCATCAGTTGATGCTGCACTCGATGCTGCAAGTAGGCAACTTCGGAGAAATGCAAGTCAGCGGCTTCCGAGAGCGTCTTGCCTGGTGCACGAAATAAGAATCTGACGAGTTGGTTACGTCCGGCAGTGTATGCCACACTCCACGCTCTGGTGTGCAGGGTGATCAAAGCTGATAAGAAGCTTAAGTCCAGGTCTCGCCTTCAATTGGAGACAATCCCGACCGATCGGAAATGGAGGATTTGCTTTGTAGCTAAAGCCGATGGGCGTTCACCCCAACGTCTCCAATGAACGACAGCACTGCTCAGGCGCCCCCACGGCCGGCGGAGCTACGGCGCTGGTGGCAGGAATGTACCTCGCGCCATCGTCATGATTTGAGGCTGCTCTCCGGTACTTGTCCACAGCGGCCCAGTTTGCTCCCGTGAGAACCCAAGTTGGTGATATCACACTGAGACGTTCCATAAGCTTCTATATAACATCTTCAAGCCCCCCGCCGATTCAATCCTCTCAATCAACAGCAACCCGCACAACTCATCATTTACACTGCACCATAACCCCGCAGCCACGACAAGTCACTCAAGTAACTTGAAACGATCACTCGCACACCACCACAATGGTTCAAATCAACGGACAAGAAATTGGCCCCATCGGCTACGGTCTCATGGGCCTCACCTGGCGCGCCAAGCCTGCTCCTGAGGAACAAGCCTTCGAGGCCATGCGTGCCGCCCTTCAAAATGGCAACAACTTCTGGAACGCGGGCGAATTCTACGGAAAGCCAGAGTACAACAGCATGACGCTCCTCGAGCGCTATTTTGCAAAGTACCCCGAAGACGCCAACAAGGTCGTCGTCAGCTGGAAGGGCGGGGTAAATGTTCAGAACCTGCACCCAGACGGCTCGCCGGAAGGCATCCGCCGCTCCTTGGATAATATCATCACCCAGCTCAAGGGCCGTAAGAAGATCGACATCTTCGAGTGCGCGCGCCGCGACGCCAACACGCCCCTCGAAGTCACGTTCGGCATCATCCAGAAGGAGTACATTGATACCGGCAAGGTCGGCGGCCTCTGCCTCTCCGAAGTCTCTGCCGCGACGATCCAGGAGGCCGTCAAGCACGCCAAGATTGTCGGCGTCGAGGTCGAGCTCAGCCTCTTTTCGACCGACGTCCTCTCTAACGGCATTGCCGCTGCCTGCGCGGAGCACAACATCCCGCTCATCGCCTACTCACCTATCGGCCGTGGCCTGCTGACCGGCGAGATCAAGAAGTTCGAGGACCTTCCCGAGGGTGACTTCCGCCGCCACATGCCGCGCTTCCAGCCGGAAAACTTCAACATCAACCTCAAGCTCGTCAAGCAGGTCGAGGAGCTGGCGGCCAAGAAGGGTGTCACTCCCGCTCAGCTCGCCATCGGCTGGACCCTCGCCATCTCCAAGAAGCCCGGCATGCCCGTGGTAATTCCCATCCCCGGCGCAACAACGGCGGAGCGAGTCAACGAGAACGCGAAGGCAGCAGCGGTGGAGTTTACAGACGGGGAGTTGGCAGAGATTGACGCGACACTGGCCAAGTTTGAGGTTGCCGGTGGTCGTTACCCTGCCGGAGCTCCCATTAACACATGAGAGACCTATATCATCTGTTTTGAATGCTTTGAAATATTAGCCCGGCTCTCTGTACGTCAAGTAAGATAATTGAACAGGGGCATAATAAGATTTGGCTCAGAGTTGCATGTGAGGCAAAGATTTTATCCACAGGACGGCCGGAAGGCCTTCAGTATTGCAGAATTCTTGTTCGCTCATCATAGTGCCAGTGAAGTAAGAGATGTCAGCAATAAACTTACCATGACTGTGGAATGCCTGCGTGACCTGCAGACAAGCTACGTTTGCAGCAAAATGTACTCCGTACGAAGGTGTTGATGAGAAAATGGGTGAAAAAAGTCAGCTTCGGCTAAGCTCATTTATTTACGTGATGACTAAGCAGACGATCCCGGTAATGCTTGCTCTCTTGGCGACGTGCAGAGTGGGTATGGTGGAAACTGACTACGTACTCATGTTAATGAACAAAAGCATATGTTTAGCGGTTGACAGACTGAGAAGCTGAAGATTTCATCTAGTAAATTGGCATGCTGAATGCTGCTGCTCACGGTATCAGGGTATACAGGAAGACGCCTTTTACCAACAAATCGAATAGTTGTAACTCCCACCCTGAATGAGTACACGCAAAGTCCACAGTAGTTCTCTACACCATCGCTCCATTCAGGCCGTGTGCCTCAACTCTGTTGACCAGCTTCTTCACGTTTGTCCACTCTTCTGCCTTCAGATCGTCCCTGCCACCGAGACCAGAGGCCACCTCGAAGACGGTCAAAACTCCGTCAATACCTCCCGTGGCCAGACGCTTGCCCTCGGACGGCTCCCAGGCAAGCTTGTTCAAGCTCTTCGCAAGCATGGTCCTACCATCCTTGCGAGAGCTTGGCGAAATTCTCGCGACAGGCTCCTCGGTCTCCACGGTGATGTCCCACAGCTCCAGCCATCCTGCTCCATCAACCAACGCAAAAACGCTAGGCTTGATCGGAGACCATTGCGCGTCGTAGACGACGTCTTCCCGCACGAAGTCGATGAGGGGCGAGACCGATGGCTCACCTCCAGCTGTCGATGTTGCAGCCGGCGCGCGAACCTTCCACAAACGAACGCTCCAGTCCAGGGAGGAAGAGAGTACCAGATCACCCAGGTCCACGGGACCTCGGGCGGGATGGAAGTCGACGGACATGACCGGCGCGGTATGGCCCTTGTAGCTGACTCTAGCATCTACACCAGCCTTTGCACCGGCGCGGTCGTATCTGTGGCAAGGAAAGATTGTGCCTTCCTCACTGCCGACAAGGAAGAAGGTAGGATCGGTCTGCGGGAACGCCAAACATGTAGGGCTCACATCGTCCAACTTGTATCCAGGGGGCGCTTTGAGCTCCAGCAACTCCTGTGGTTGGGCGAACACGTCCATACTCCAACCGCAAACCACACCGTCCGTAGAGGTCGAGATGATGTTGTTTGCGTTTTGCGTACCAACGATGTCTACGGAGTAAATGGGATGCGTATGACCGTATCCTGTGAGAGGCGTTTTCTGAACGGGCGCTGATTTCGCTCTCATATCCCATAGGAGGACTTGGCCGCTGTATGTGCCACCAACAATGAGATTCTGGTGATACGGCGAAAACTTGGCGGTGAGAACATCGGACTGAGCGTGGAAGACATATTCCGGTCTGTCTCGCAGAGCCAGACTCCATACCTGGACCAGGCCGTCCGGCTCATGCGGGGCAGTAGGGTTCTTTGTGTATGACGCCAGCATCAGCTCGGAATGGTGGTGTGAGAAGTCGATGCTGCTGATCATTCGCTTTTTAGACCACCTCTCATCGTAGAACTGAGCCACCTCCTTGACTCTCCGCCGGCCCTTGCCTCCGACATTACCGCTCTCGTCATCTTCGTCGTCAACGTCATGGCCTTGGAGTGCGTAGTCCGTGAGAATATCGTACTCTTGGTCCAGTGCTCTCTCAATGACTTTGGTTGACTTTTCAAGGAAGTCTGCAAAGTCGGGAGCACCGGTAACAGCCTCCAGCTCTTCGCCAGTAAGTTTGCGCATAGGATAGTTGACCTTGGCGGGCGCATCCTGAGGAAGAACCCCATCTTTGAGCAGATCCAGTGACGCCTTCAGCTCTTCTTCGACCTCCCTTCTGATATCCTGTCTCAGTTCCTCTTCCCTATCGCGTTGTCGGCGACTCAGCCGCTTGTTGGGTGTCGACGTGACGGGTGGCTCCTCATCATCGGAAAACGATTGACCTCTGTCTCGTGTAGGCGGGGTCCAATCCTCGGCCGTCTGCACTCCTTTGCTGTAAGAATGTACCTCCTTCACGGGAGAGGGCGGGCATTCGTATATCGTGGTTAGAGGCGCGGTAGTGAGGCTCAATTGAACAGGTGGTGCGGCGGGAACCGAGGATGGAGGTGGTACGCCACTGGTAGTTGTCGTGAACTCCGAAGCCGCATCGATGCTCAGCTCGCCAGCGCTCAGGACACTGTTCGGCCGACTGCCCCTACGAGCCGGCGACGCAGCCCCTCCTGTCGTGGATCCAGGCCTACTTTCTCCGACCAAGCTGTTGATCAAAGTTTCGATATCGCGGCGGTTCTCGGCTCGTCCTGGGATAGGCGACACTAGCTGCGTACACATTAGCAAGCTGCGCGGGCAGGAGTTCAGCTTCAACCAACATCGCCTGGACTCCCTGAGCTTCCCCGGCTTGCTGTGGCCTGAGTTGCGCGGAGTTCTCTCTGCCGCTTCAGCTCCGCGAGCTTCGCCTTCTTCGCCAAGATTTCATCTCGTCTCTGTTGCATCTTATTGTCTCCTTATTCCCATGGCGGGACTCGCTTGCTAAGTGTGACGAGGAATCGCGGGTGAAGGGTCCGACTGTTGCGAAAGTGGATGAACTTCGCAGATGGGTTGAGAAGGGCAACAGGCTGCGTGGACGAGAGGGCTTGACTCCTGTTGAAGATCTGCGGGTGACGAATGTTTGTATTGGAGGCGGTAGCGTCGTTTGGTTTGATGGGGATTCCTTTCAATGCGCGTTGTCCTTCCTGTCGCGATTCCAGCAGGAACCCCGGGCCCTGTTCAAGAGGTACCTTTCTGCTAATTAGCTGGTGAGAGGTACTTTAGCTGCCCCTGCATTAAAGTTGCACTGGTCCCTTTAAAGACAGCGGCCTGGGGATATTTCCACAGCGCTGGAGCTAGCCTTCGAAGCAAATTAGTGCACGTGATTGGGCCGTTTCGGCAAAGGACCGGCAAAACCTCCCCCAAGGGCCCCTGCCACGCAGCGATGGAAAGTTCCTTAGCAGCCGCTGTAAGCTCCCGCTCAGCATGTCGACCTGGTGCTGAGCCGCTGGCCACTAGCGATGGATGCTGCTGGGCTGGAATCCCCCGTCCGAGCTCCAAGGCCCGGAGTGACCTTACGGCCTAGCAGTGGAAAATCTGCGAGTTTTCCCGAGCATATTTTCAAAACTTCACACCTTGCGTCTCTAACGTAATTCCCTCTCGACAGAGCTCCGAATAGGGTCAATTGGCAGCCATTGTCAACCCGCGCACTGTCCTTTCCATCGCTCGCTCCCTCCTGAAAGCAGTCGCGCAATCCACGCAATTGCCCTCAATGTCTTCCTCAGGAGTTAACGTACGTGCCGCCCGCCTATCGTTCTATTTCTCGCCCTCGGCCTGCATCCTTTGATGCGAGACCCCCCTTCAGCTACCACCTCCTCCCTGAGCCGACAAGCCTCCATCGTCACCCGACCCGACCACGAAACCGATAATCGTTATAGTATTCAGGAATCATTGGCTGATTGATGGACTTTTATAGGTGCTCCGCTACACGGCCCTTGGCCTGGGCATTTTCTACGGCTTCACACACCAAAGATCCATCACCTCAAGCCAGAAGGCTGCGGCCGCCCAGAAGGAGTATGAGCGCAAGGAGAAGTTGATAGAGCAGGCCAAGGCCGAGTTCGCAAAGAAGAACTCGCCCGTTAAGGCTGCGGATGCCGGAGGTGCGTATTCCTTAGCCGAGGGCTTTGCAGTGGCACATTTGCGCGATTCGCACGCGACACACTGGATGCCAGCTAGCTGTTGAGTCTGGAAACTAACTGCCCGCGCAGTCAACGTTGACCCCATGGACCCCAAGTTTGATCTTGAGGCCTACTTCAACAACTTGGTCAAGCAGAACCCGTGAGGTGGGGGATTGTATGTGAGGGGAGAGGACGGCTTGCACAACGGATAGACGGGGTCAGGATTGGGGATACGCCTGCGCGAAAAGAACACAAAGAGTCCACCGAGGGACGCATAATCTGGTCTTTCGGCTGCAGTAGGTGCATGGTTGGCACCACGCCCGACGTCACTGCATAGACATTTTCCTTACGCCTCTGTTTACCCGATGTACATGTGTACAATACGCTTTACTAGATGACAATTCCAAGGAACGAGCCATTGGATTCCATCAATCAAAATTTCTTCTGTACAATACAACACGGTCTTGATAGGAATCATCGTATACAAAGCACCTAGATACGTTAAGGCATGATATTAGCCTTGAGGACGAGCCCCCCGAATTGTAGAGGATGCAGTTGCCTTGCAACCCCCCAATAAACTCACCAGATATGCCGGAGCTGACGTCTGGTATTTTTGGCGTTATCTTTGGAAAGCTGTCGCATGCAAGCTGCCCATTGATTACCACGTTGAACTGTATCTAGGGATACTGATTCTAGACACGTTGGGAATAATTTAGGTCTTTCACAACGCAAATCTGTGGGATCGGAAAGACTTTTAGCAAAAGCCACATAACGATAACCCAGGACTTGACATCAACACTACTTCAATTTGTCAAGCGCATCTTCTCTGCCATCTGACTGTCACGGCCGAGAGCCGGAGCACCGGCCACCCCGGACCTGGACAGGACGGGAACCTGAACCCACAGCTGGGCTCGGCTCCCACGTCGCTGGGAAATCCTTAGTCCGAGGCACGTGACCCCCACGTTCCTGAATGGCTGACGGAAGCCACGACTGTCGCAACTGCCAGTGGGACGGATTGGACGGCGGCTCCCCATGGACCGTGCGCGCCTCCCCTGCACAACCGATTCAGGTGCATAAGCTCCAAGCTGTCCTTCTCAGGTCTCTGTGAGACAGGTGGTCGTCGCCAGCTACAATCCCGTACCTTACGCAATCTTCACCAACTTCACGGCCACTGCCTTTCTTCACCACCCGTGGCCACGATGACGGCCCAACCTCTGGAAACCCTCTCCGGAGGCAGCGCGCAGAACACAAGAACTCTTCTCAGAGTCATCATCTTGGGCTTGATCGCAGCTGCCGCCATTGCAAGCCGTCTCTTTTCCGTCATTCGTAAGTGCCCCTCGACACGTTGCTCCCGATCGCCTCCAGCGCCAATTGGCCGACTGGTGGCTGCTTCATGCATTGCAACTTCTCAATTCAAGAAACTATGCTAATCTCGATTGAACAGGCTTCGAGAGTATTATTCACGAATGTCGGTTTCCCTCGTCGCGACCTCCTTCCTGCAGCCACGTACTGACTATCCGCAGTCGACCCCTGGTTCAACTTCAGAGCCACCAGATACCTTGTAGCCAATGGATTCTACAAGTTCTGGGATTGGTTTGATGACCGCACATGGCATCCTCTTGGTCGGGTTACTGGAGGAACCCTCTACCCTGGTCTGATGGTGACCAGCGGCGCCATCTACCACGCGCTTCGAGCTCTTACCGTCCCCGTCGATATTCGCAACATCTGCGTTCTTCTCGCGCCCGCTTTCTCCGGCCTCACGGCCTATGCTGCCTACCTTCTTACGAATGAGATGACCACATCCCCCTCGGCCGGTCTCCTTGCTGCCGCCTTCATGGGTATCTCTCCCGGTTACATCTCTCGATCCGTTGCTGGCAGTTACGACAACGAAGCTATCGCCATTTTCCTTCTCGTCTTCACCTTCTACCTGTGGATCAAGGCATTGAAGCTGGGCTCCATGCTTTGGGGAGCTCTTTGCGCCCTCGCCTACGGCTACATGGTCGCCTCTTGGGGTGGCTATGCCTTCATCACCTGCATGCTTCCTCTGCATGCCTTGACCTTGGTCTGTATGGGCCGCTACAGCACCCGTCTCTACGTCAGCTACACCACTTGGTACGCTCTGGGCACTCTGGCCAGCATGCAGATTCCCTTCGTCGGTTTCCTGCCTGTCAAGACTAGCGAGCACATGCCTGCTTTGGGTATGCCGAATTGTCACCTTTCTATGACGCCTTAGCTAACACGCACGATACAGGCATGTTCGGTTTCCTGCAGCTGATCGCCTTCATTGACTATGTCCGCAGCGCCATTCCCAGCCGTCAGTTCCAGACCTTTGTCTTCACCTTCCTGGCTGCTACTTTCGGTCTTGCGCTGGCTGGTCTGGTCGCCTTGACCTCTCTCGGCTACATTGCTCCTTGGGGCGGCCGTTTCTACTCCTTGTGGGATACCGGATACGCCAAGATTCACATTCCCATTATCGCATCCGTCTCTGAGCACCAGCCTACCGCTTGGCCTGCGTTCTTCTTCGACCTTAACCTGCTTATCTGGCTGTTCCCCGCCGGTGTTTACTTGCTTTTCCAGGACCTCAAGGACGAGCACGTCTTCGTCATTGTTTACGCCCTGTTCGGCAGTTACTTCGCCGGTGTCATGGTGCGCCTGATGCTCACTCTGACCCCTATTGTCTGCGTTGCAGCTGCCATTGCTGCTTCGTCGATCCTGGACACCTACATGGTCGCCAAGTCTCCTAACCCTGAGGATTACAAGGGTGACGAGGCCACCGAGGCGGCTCCCAAGAAGGCCAAGCACAGCGGCCTCAAGTCGACCAGCAAGCCCCTTGTCGGTATCTACACCTTCCTGTCCAAGGGTCTCGTTGTTGGTGGCATGTCCATCTTCCTGCTGCTCTTCGTTCTCCACTGCACCTGGGTTACCTCCAACGCCTACTCGTCGCCTTCCGTCGTTCTTGCGAGCAGAATGCCCGACGGCAGCCAGCACATCATTGACGACTACCGTGAGGCCTACCAGTGGCTCCGCCAGAACACCAAGGAGGACGCCAAGATCATGTCTTGGTGGGACTACGGCTACCAGATTGGTGGTATGGCGGACCGCCCTACCTTGGTTGACAACAACACCTGGAACAACACTCACATCGCGACTGTTGGTAAGGCGATGAGCTCTCGCGAGGAGGTCAGCTACCCTATCATGCGCCAGCACGAGGTTGACTACGTGCTTGTCGTCTTTGGCGGTCTTCTGGGCTACTCCGGAGATGACATCAACAAGTTCTTGTGGATGGTTCGTATCGCTGAGGGTATCTGGCCTGAGGAAGTTCAGGAGCGCAAGTTCTTCACCCCCCGCGGCGAATACAGAGTCGACGACGGAGCTACTGAGACCATGAAGAACAGCTTGATGTGAGTATCTCCTCCTTCACTCCTAAGCAACACTTACTGACAACCGTTTAGGTACAAGATGTCGTACTACAACTACAACTCGCTCTTCCCTCAGGGTCAGGCCCAGGACCGTGTCCGTGGTGTCCGCCTTCCCGACGTTGGCCCTACCCTCAACACCTTGGATGAGGCCTTCACCAGTGAGAACTGGATCATCCGTATCTACAAGGTCAAGGACCTTGACAATGTCGGCCGTGACCACGCGGCTGCTGCTGCCTTTGAAAGAGGCCAGAAGAAGAAGGCGCTGAAGAAGAAACGCGGCCCCAGAGTCCTCAGAGTGGACTAAAGTGGTAGATCTGACCATGACTACCCGAGAGCATTTCTCAATTTCTTTGTATCAGGACTGGGATAAGGTGGCATTAGATTCCACTTGTAGACAAAAAAGCACACTCTGGTAAATGTACAATATCCGATCATGATTTGTTCTTTGTGACTATTCCCTCTGCTTTTCCCTTTGATCTAAAGTGGTGTGCCATCAAGTGGAAGTGAAGATAGCTTCACCACTGATGTGTATTGATGGTACTTTGAAATTATAGTAACATTATGAGATGAAAGGTGATCCGTTTTCACCTGTCTTGAATGACACCATGGTCTGGCATCTAACGTGTACAATGTGCTAGAACATCTAGGATCTCATGCACTTATCTACTTAAGAGGAGCCCCTGCTTCTTCAGGAAGTCTCAGCACCAAGTCACTGTCTTGTTAATAGGGTAGGCATCGTGAACCTCATGTTTCCTGTCCTAGATTATCAGGCCGTAACCCCAGAGCGGTAGTAGCCCTAATATCAGATCTAGCTAGCCTCCTGGCTTGTTCTCTTTCTGATTGTCTTCTCCTAGACCTCAACCTCTCTACTTACCCATCACCAACTTTTGTGTGGTCAACCACCAGCGTCGACATTTACCCCCTGGTATCTTTGCCTCATTCCCTCATTTGATCAGCCGGATACGGCATCGGCATTCAATTGCGGTCCTCATTTTCCACTGCTCTTCACTGGCACGGATGCATCGCCGCCACCGAGTTGCTCATGGCTAAACTCTGGAATGCCCTCAAAAAGGGGGGCAAACGCAGCACCTCCCAGAGGCTTGCACCCATGAGAGATAGCAATATCGATCGGTACGTACCTACTCTGGATCTTCGAGTTCTTCTAGCTTGCTCTCGATGGCCTGCGCAAGTGTGGTGGGAGCGGAGCTCTGGGGTCTTGCCAGGAGGAAGGAGCTTGGTTGGCCCACTTTACCCCGGAGTCGTCCCTTCCACACTTCACCCTTCGACGCACCTCCAACCTTTGGTTACCAGCACAACCTACCTGCGACGAAAATACCATCCGAATTGCTCACTGACTCTCGTAGCAGGACCGCGCAAGCTTTGCAAGAAGTGACGGCATCAAGGGCAAACATGGCGCCGAGAGAGCCCGCGCAAGCTCTCAAAGCAGGCGGAACGGAGCATTCCCGCTCTCATTGTGAGATCTTTTGGATATTTGCTCTCGCTCTCGATGGTCAGACTGACAAGAGGAAATAGCCGCAAGGGACAGTTCACCTCACCGGAGACACGCTCAACGGGCAGAAAGCCACCACGATTGCAAGCATCGCGAAGAGGAGCCTCGCCGGAGACGTATCAGATCAAGCCGCGCGACCAGCGGCCCTAAGGCGTCCTCGCAGACTGCCACGAGAATTACTGCCGGTGAAAATGATGGACGCTACGCGTCAGCTTACCCTCAAGATATGCGCATGGCTTATTCTCACGCTGATACGAGCTTGATCGCATCTCCTGCGTCGTACACTTCTTCAACAACGCAGGTTCAAGGTGACCATCCAAGCGATGTACAGGGCGACAGGATGAGCGTCAGAAAAGAGAAATCCCGCGACTAGGAGACCGAGATTCCTGTTCACCTCGACGACAACAATGATGGCTACTACTGTTGCGGATGTGGTATCCGCCGTTCTGATGAGCACCACAAGATCCGCAAATTTCGGGTTGGAGAACCAGTCTGGCGCAACTTTTGTCACTCATGCCACAAAAAGCATCTTGCCAGCAGTGACTACAGGAAGCTGAAGCAGTACGGTAATTTTTGCTTCGGTTGTGGCTTTGCTCGCTCATCCCATTTCAACAAGCAACATCCCGTCAAACGCGGCCATCAGCCCGCCAAGAACTTCTGCGCCCACTGCATGAAGCGGAAGTTCAAAAAGGCAGTCACTCCTGCCGAGACTGTCCTCGGCTTCGTGAGTCTGCACTTCATGCCATTGTAGAGTCTTGCTAACAGCCCTAGTCGTCCGATGAGAGCGACGATAATTTGGAGGAAGACTTTGACGACACTCTTCGCCCGCAATCTCCTGACCGCTTTGTCCGACACCATGACGCGAACGCGGATGATCAGAGCAGGCTTGAGTACGGTACTGCGAACAGCGCGGGATGCTCGCAGAATTTCAGCAATGATTCTGTTGGTATCTCGCCTTCAAGATCCGTCCAGGATCGGCTGCACAAGCGCCGCTCTGACCGATACGCACCTATTACTCGAGAGTCTACTGCCGGGCTTCACGATGGGGTCATTCACGACAATATCGAATCCGTTGCCAACAGCAGCTACAAGTCTCCGACCGTTGAGGACACCTCCAGTGCAACGACTTGCCAGCCAGATCACAGAGAGGCACTTTCAGACGGCCAGACTTCGCATGTAAAGCAGACCTCTGCTGCTATCCCTCGCACTCCCAGCCCGCAGACCAACCCTCTGCCACCCGTGGACGATACGAAAGACAGTGCTATTGGCGTCGGATCGTCGTATTGTTCAGACCAAATCTCCCCGTCCAAGAGAGCCACCTTTAACGAGCGCGTGGAGGTTCGCACGTCCCCTACGTATTGGCAACATGAACACTCGGAGAACGATGACAGCTACGCAAAATTCCGATCTGAGCAGTACCACGAGGCTCTTGGGGACGGCAAGAAAGCTATCCCACTCGAAGCTCCCTTGCGAGACCCGGACGGCTTCAGTGCCCGACGCGATCATCTTCAGCATTATAGCGTCGATGAGGAAAGCTTCAACTCTTGGAGCGTCCCGACTGTCGGATATGACGGCTTTGCGGCATCCAACACTTTCAACTGCAGTCCGTTGGCCGGGAATGCTAGTTCAATGCAATCGCATCCCAGTACTTTATACACTGCCAAAGACTGCCACTCGACCGATCGATCGACCGGTAGTTGCGGCAACTTTTCAAGATCCCAAGGCTCAGGTTCAACCTTCAACGACCGGACTTCAGACCCCAGAGACAGATGGTCGCAACGAAGAGGCGAGAACAGCTCTCATCGCAACCTTGGAAAGGAGAATCAGCCTTGCTCCATGACGTACTCGGGCTGCGATGATGCCTCCACGCAGTATGAACACGTCGACGCCACTGATGGCTTCCGAGAGCATCGTGACACCAGCTGGTCTGACAACTACGATGGAGCCTCCTACACCAACCATGCGGACAGCTCTCGCTTCTCAGAACCTTGTGGTGCCTGGGACTTTCAATCAGCTCGTTCTGGTAACCGCCAGCCAGCCTCTTTCAACAGCAGCACTGAAGAGCCCCAGCGCGGCTTCCAAGATCTGCCTCAGACTTCTGATCAAAGTAGTGAAAGCGTTCCATTCAACGTGTCATACCAGCCATCGTCCTGGAACGGTCAGGATTCGAGCCATCATCACCCCGACTCCCGCAACAGACAACACGATCACCATCCGCATTCTGCGAACAATAAATGGGATCAACACCGCCAATCGTACGAAGGCCAAGCTCATGGCAGATCGAACCGTTTCTTCTCTGGTTCAAGCAGCTACAATACTCGCCAAGCACCTAACTACGTGCACGAGACTCCCTGCGACGCCGACAATCCTTCTGATTCCACCGCTACCGGCCACACGCAATCTTCGTTGTACGAGCCGAAGCTCCCCCCTGTCGGCTTTGCCATGGAGATCCCTGACGACATGTCTAAGAGCGAAGTCCAGACCATGTTCATCCCCGGCTATGACGACTACGTCCCCTGGTGTAGCACCAGCTCAGTCTAAGACGCTGCACCCTCAGACCATGTCTTTCAAAGATATCAAACAGACAGACAAATTAGTTCGCGATGTCTGAATCTTTCTCGCTCGGTACCAATCACATTGCCATCCGGCACTAAAAAGGCACCAGCGAACACATATTGTTGACTTTACTTTCTGCCGCACACGATATGCAGAAGTTGCTACGGAATAATCAGTCTTGTACGCCTGTTCGACTTTTATTTTCTTTTTTCTTTTTCCCTCTGTTTGTCATTTTTAGTCCTTTTTCATTGATTATCCCCCCTTCTTGAAACATCAACACTTTCGCCGCGGCCCGACACCCTTGCTCGACACGCAGCTTTAATTCAACGACAGCAGACCCTTTCTTTCGACTTTCACCTCATGCATTACCGGGTTTCTCAGAGCGGCAATTGCAGAGCTCGGTCACTTCAACGACGTCGAGGTACGCTGCAAAACTGGCAGTTTGGGCTTTGCAAGCAGTGTTCTTGGGCGGTATGGATATGGATGGGGACGAAACCTCGAGACTCTTTGGGTACATTGCCACTGCAAAGCAACTCAGGGTACGCTTCTTTTTGTACTCGAGCACAGGATTGGGCACCAAACGCAAGGAATCAATCTTGGGTTTGATTGGAGAGGAAAAGGGAGTAAGAGAGAGAAGAGCATGCGATGGCTATTGGAATGTGGACTTGGGTTTCTGTCCTTTCTTGGGACTCGGTACTTTTACATGGCCGTTGGACTGCTTCCTTTTGAGAACTTCACTGGGTGGAGGCTGCCTTCTACTTTTCTGCAAAGAGAATTGAGGAAAAAGACAGCAGACTGTCAATCGTACTTAGCTAGCTATACTCTGACAAAGGCAATTGACGACTAGATTAGACACTGAAAACCGTTCTCCTGAGCTCGAACGATGGATTCTGCATCTTCTCGCTTGCGTTTCCGTATGTAGCACGGACTGCGAATGTCAAGGTATCAATGTCTTTTTGCATTCATGATTTTCGTAGTCATCTATCCTACTCTTGCCTGCCCCGAACAGACGTTTTCCCGTCTCTTCCCCAATCCTTACCAGCCCTTAACCTGGAATGCCCATAGCAGGCTATTCCAAAACATGTACTCTAACGATGCCCTGTACTGATATTGCATTCGTGCTCTCTCTCTCGCTCGCTCTTTCTTCTCGCAACGCTTGAGCACCTTATACACCATCTAAATAACTTCCACCGCCGACCATTCAGCTCCTTTAAAAGCGCCCCCAACCTACGGATCAA